CCCTTCTCCTCCATTCTCCTCTCGGGATCTTGGGCACACACGCACACGTGTCCGGCGTGAGTTTTAAGCCACCGGGTCCGGGACGCGAACCGCGGTCGACTACGTGGGAGTCCAGCGACATAGCCATTATGCTAACTGCTGGTTCCCAACATACCTAGCTTTTAAACAAAAATGTTTTCAGGGCCAGCAGGTAGCATGAAGGATAAGATGCTGGACTCCCACCTGGTTGACCGTGATTCAAGTCCCAGACCTAGAGGCTTGAAAACCACGCCAGCACTTGTGCATATGCATGCTGGATTCCCACATGCTCAACCATGGTTCAAGGCCCAGACCTGGCAGCTTGAAAATCATGCTGAGCACTTGTACATATGCATCCATGCACAAAATCCAAGGAGGAGAATGGAGAAGGGATTGTGGTGTGGCCATCCCCACTGGGGGGTGATTTCTTACTTTCCATCTCTCTTTCTCTCTCAGATGAGCACTTGCGACCTGTAGCAAAACCCTAAAAAAAAAAACAAAAAAGATTGAAAAGTAACAAAATAAATGCGTGCGTTCATTCTGTATTGCTCACTTCTGTGGAGATAAACGACGCCAAAAGAACTGCTATTGAAGAGGGAAGGGGTGCCACACCCATACTCCTTGTCTCACACGACTGCATGGGGGGAGGTGCAGAGTATTTGTCCTTATTGCAAAAATGAATTCTAATTTCCAATGGTAAGTTTGATTTAAACATTGCTTTTAGCACAGTGCTGACACCGGAGGTGCAGGGGAGGTCTGGAGAGATGTTCGTAGCGGCACATACCGGCGCTTCTCCTCCGGTTCCGGAGCACAGGGCGGCCATATTGCTTTGTCTAATATGTTCTTTAGGCCTCTCTGAGGGTGCAGAACACCGTACACTTGATAGCCTTCCAGGCACTGGGCAGCTGCTCCCCCCCCCCTTTCTTTTTTCTTTTTCTTTCTCTTTTTTTCTTTTTCTCTCTCTTTCTTTCTTTCATTTCTTTTTTTTTCCTTTCTTTTTTTAGAATTTGTTATAGGATACATGCGTCTGCTTGAAAGAGACAGAGAGAGAGATATAGAGACAAAGTACCCCCAGGGGAATGGCTGTGCCCCACAATCCATTCTCCTCTTGGGATTTTGGAGACACACACACATGCCCAGTGTGTTTTTCAAGCCACTGGGTCTGAGACTTGAACTTCACAGTTGGCCGTGTGGGATCCAGCTGCTTCAACCATCACACCACCTGGCTGGCCCATGGGACCAGCTTCTCACAGGCTCTGGAGTGATAGGCTTCTGTTTGTTCTTGGTAAGTTTTTCAGCAGTAATAGGGTCATCTCTGAGATCTACTTGGGTCCCTTTAAGCAAGAAAGAAGTCTTTGAATGGCACTGAGTTATCTCACGCACCCACCTTTCTTTTACTTCTTCTAATGAGAATAGAGATACTCAGACCAGCAGTTGGCATAATGGCTATGTCGCTGGACTCCCATGTAGTCGACCGCAGTTCGAGTCCCAGACCTGGTGACTTAAACTCACACCGGGCATGTGTGTGCGTGCCCAAGATCCCGAGAGGAGAATGGAGGAGAAGGGATTGCGGCATGACTATCCCCCCTCGGGCATGATTTCTCGCTTTCTGCCTCTCTCTCTGTGTCTTTCTGGTGAGCTCACACACCCTACAGCAATAACCTCTAAAAAAAATTAATAGAGCCCAATGAAAAATAGATGAGAAATACATCTGTTTGTGTCTACTCAGCGGTCATAATTTGTCATAATCCTCTTGCCCTGTGGTGTCAGAAAGTCCAGGAGGATGTGGCTTTCTACCAGCATAGCTGTTAGTACACAGTTGTCAAAAGCAGGGGGACGTATTCAGGTGGACACTGCTTGTGTAGACGCTCACAGGGCATGTCCCACCAATGGCATCATGGCCCACAACAGCACATTAAATTGTCTGCATTGCTCAGGTAGTTTCATATCCATTTTAGAATATTTCAAGTTTAATATCTACATATTATATGTAGTATTCTTTTTTTCTTTCTTTTTCTTTTTTTTTTTTTTGAGCGGTTTTTGCTATAGGGTACGTGCACTCGTCAGACAGACAGAGAGAGACAGAGAGACAGAAAGCGAGAAATCACCCCGCAGGGGGGATGGCCACGCTGCAATCCCTTCTCCTCCATTCTCCTCTCGGGATCTTGGGCACGCACGCACACGTGCCCGTGAGTTTTAAGCCACTGCATCCGGGACGTGAACCGCGGTCAACTACATGGGAGTCCAGCGACATAGCCATTACACTAACTGCTGGTCCCTTCTTTCTCTTTCTTTATTTCTTCTTTTTTCATTGCCAAAGGGCACATGTGCTCGATGGAGAGAGAACAAGAGAGAAGAGGGAGACAGCATCCCCGATGGGAGTGTGACCATGCTGCAATCCCTTCTCCTCTGTTTCTCTTCCAGGATTTGGGGCGGGCATACATGCACAAGTGCCCAGTGTGATTTTCAAACTTCCAGGACAAGATTCAAACTGTGGTCCAACACATGGGGTTTGGCAAGCCACGGGGTCCGGGACTTCAACCATGGTCAGCCATGGGAATCCAGCACCCCAACACCATGCCACCTACTGGCCCATTTTGTCCCCAATTTTGTTCAGAGGAAACCAAGACACCGATGGGCTAGCAGGCTCAGATTCTCACAAATCCATTCGATCCTGATTCCAAAGCCTGGCAACCTTTACTTTTTACATTTTCTTTTATTATCTTTTTAATTCCTAGAAACACACTTGCCAGAGAGAGACAGAGACATGGGGGCGGAGGAGAAGTACCTTCAGTCGGGGTAAAATCATGCCACAACCTCATCTCCATTTCTCCATCCTGTCAGGGTTTGGAGCTTACACCCACATGCCTGGCATGTTTTTCAAGCCACGGAAGCTGGAATTTGAACCACGCACGGTTGGCCATGTGGGATCTGACTCCCTTAACAACTAGGCTAAGGGCCAGCCTTATTATCACTAAATTTAAAAAACATCTTATTACAAAGGCGACCTGTGGTCACTAGACAAAAACCAAACAGGGTAGAACTCAGGAGAACAATTCCAAGTCCCCTCCCCTGCCCACTTCATTCTCTGGGGCAATCAGTTAATCATTTGTCACTGATAGTGAGAAATCTTAAAAATTAATAGCTGTCCTTAAGGACAGACGGGTACAATGGTGACTTATGGGTTGGTTAATTTCTTGCTAAAAGTTATGTAACCGATGGCGATTGGTTAGTTAGCTAGCCACGAGCGTTCAAGTCTTCTCTTAGCACTCATAGTTCCCCATTAATTTTCACATGGTGTTTGCTTGGTTTCACGGCAGTTACTCAAAACACAGCTTCACACAGACATGATGGCATTAAGGGGCCAGCAGGTGGCATGGTGGTTAAGATGCTGGATGCATGACTGACAGCAGTTTGAATCCTGGACCCGGAGGCTTAAAACTCATGCTGGCTGTATGTGCGTGCCCAAAATCCCAAGAGAAGAATGGAGGAGAAGTAACTATGGCACGGCCATTGCCCTGTGGTGGGGGAAGGGAGTAATTTCTCACTTTCTTTCTCTCTGACAAGTGCACCCTCCCATAGCAAAAATCTCTCACTAAAAAAAGGGGAGGGAACCAGCTGATGGCGTAACGGTTATGTCACTGGACTCCCATGTAGTCGACCGCGATTTGAATCCCAGACCTGGTGGCTTAAACCTCATGCTGAGGGGACCAGCAGCTAGCGTAATGGCTATGTCGCTGGACTCCCACATAATCGACCATGGTTCGCATCCCGGACCCAGTGGCTTAAACTCATGCCGGGCACGTGTGCATGCGTGCCCAAGATCCCAAGAGGAGAATGGAGGAGAAGGGATTGCGGCATGGCCATCCCCCCTGGGGGGTGATTTCTCGCTTTCTATATCTCTGTCTCTCTCTGTCTGTCTGGCAAGCACATGCACCCTATAGCGAAAACCTCTAAAAAAAATAAAAACACACAAAACCTCAAACTGGGCATGTGTGCACATGTGGCCAAAATCCTGAGAGGAGAATGGAGGTGGAGGGATTGTGGTGTGGCCATCCCCCCTAGGGGGTGATTTCTCGCTTTCTGTTTCTCTCTGTTTCTCTGGCAAGCACATGTGCCCTATAACAAAAATCTCTTTCTCAAAAAAACAAACAAACAGAAAAAAGCAAGCCCTGTGATCTTACACTGAGACCTTGGCCTATCCCGGGCCAGTTAGTGTATGACGGCGGACAATGTTCAGTGCGGCTCTACTTCCCTCCACGTTTTTTCCTCAGTAATTATTTCTTTAATTATTATTATTATTATTTTAATTTGACCAGAGAGAGCGAGGAAGTGAGAAAGCAAGCCACCAGGTCTGGGGCTTGAACTGCAGTCAGTCATGTGGGAGTCCAGTGCCTTAACCACCATGCCACCTGCTGGCTTTCTCTTAACTTTTTTGTATTTTTTGAGAGGTTTTTGCTGTAAGGTGCATGTGCTCACTGGAGAGACAGAGAGGGACAGAAAGCGGGAAATCACTCTCCAGGGCAGATGGCCACACCGCAATCCCTTCTCCTCTAGTCTCTTCTCGAGATTTTTGGCGTGAGTTTTTTTAAGCCGCTGGGTGGGACCTCAAACTGCGGTTGACCATGCAGGAGTCCAGCGATGTGACCGTTATGCCATCTGCTGGTCCCCTCTCTTCACATTTTTAAATATTCCGCTGTGCTCAGGGAGTTCCCCCGGGTGCCTGGAGTGAGTGCCTCGGCATGCAGTTTGGGAACCATGGGCATCTGCCCTGAGAGCTTGGGGGGGGACTAGGGGTGAAGGACTTGCCCCCCGTGGCTGTCCCAGGCTCACGTCTGCCCGTGTCTGCCTCAGTTTGACCTGGTTTGTGGCCGGAAGTACCTGAAGGAGACCTCGCAGTCCGTGTACATGTCGGGGCTCCTCCTCGGGGCCTTGACCTTCGGGCCCCTGTGTGACTGGTAAGACCCAGCCACTCCCCGTGAGTTCACACGCTCTTGGTGTCGCCCTCCCGCACCCTCACCAGGCTCCAGGCCTGGCTCCCACCCTGGAATGGGGCTCCCCGTGCAGGGCGGGAGGTCTGCTTTGCTCCTTCCCCCTCAGACGGACTCCCAGGGCCCCTGTCCACAGCCCTGCCCTCTGTCACCGCAGGATCGGCCGGAAGGCCACCATCCTGCTGCAGCTGCTGATCTTCGCCCTTGTCGGGCTGGGCACCGCTTTCGTACCCAACTTCGAACTCTACATGGCCCTGCGCTTCGCTGTGGCCACTGCGGTTGCCGGGTACACCTTCAGCAATGTCACCCTCCGTGAGTATCGAGGCCCCGGCCCTGCAGCCACAGGTGAGGCCCTGGGGCGGGGGCCGGCCCACCTGTTGAGCTCTCATCTGGCACCCTGCACCCCAAGAGGTCACCCCGGGGCTTCCTGTGCTGAGACTGAGGCCATCACCCTGATATAGTGGCATCTGGGGGGTGACCCCGTGCCAGGCTATAGGGCCGGCCCCGTCTCAGCCCGCCTGTCCCCACAGTTGCAGAGTGGGTGGGACCCTCGCAGAGGACCCGGGCCGTGGTCCTGGCCCAGTGCGCCTTCTCCGTTGGGCAGATGGCACTCGCAGGCCTGGCCTACCTGGTCCGCGACTGGAGGTTGTTCCAGATCGCCGGCACCTCGCCGGTCCTGCTGCTGTTCTTCTACATCTGGTGAGGGGGGATGAGCAGGAGCAGGCCCGCCTGGGTGGGCTGTGCTGTGGCAGGGCGAGGGGCGCCCGTGTCCACCTCATGGGCCAGTCGGAGGCTGCTCTGGGCAAGAGGCCGGGGCTCGGGGTTCTGCACGCACAGTATGGCTGGAGGGGCTCCGGGCCCTGCTCCCAGCCTGTCCCCGACTGCAGGGCTCTGCCCGAGTCTGCTCGGTGGCTGCTGACCCGGGGGAAGGTAGAGGAGGCTAAGCAAGTGATCCAGAAGGCCGCCTCGGTCAACCGGCGGAAACTCCCCCCGGAGCTCCTGAACCAAGTACGTGGCCCAGGCCCAGGCCAGCCCTGCCCCCGCCCCGCCCCAGCCCTGCCCAGACTGACCCTCACAGACCTTTCACTCTGACCTCCTCCCAGCTGGTCCCAGAGAAGACAGGCCCCTCGGGGAATGCCCTGGATCTATTTAGGTACCCCCAGCTCCGGAAGGTGACCCTGATTCTCTTCTGTGTCTGGTGAGTGTCCCAGAACCATGCCCCTGTCCCCCCAGGGATGGAGCCAAAGGGCGGCCCCTTCCCTGGCGTGTGACAGTGGAGTGGCGGGACAGTGGCCCTCCCTGGTGGGAACACTCCCGGAGCTGCAGGTTGTCTCCTGCGGTGATGGTGATCTAAGAAGACCCTGGGGTGCGGTGGTGCCTCGCGAGCTGGCAGTGACAGGGCCCTGGACGTCCTGCAGGTTCGTGGACAGCCTGGGGTATTTCGGCCTGAGCCTCCAAGTCGGGGACTTCGGCCTGGACATCTACCTGACGCAGCTCATCTTCGGGGCAGTGGAGGTGCCCGCCCGCTACTCCAGCACCTTCATGATGGAGAAGCTGGGCCGCAAGTGGAGCCAGATGGGCACCCTGGTCCTGGGCGGCCTCATGTGTATCGCCATCATCTTTGTCCCAGCAGGTACCTCGGCCAGCCGGCCCCACCCACCCACACTCACCCACCGCTGCCAGGGGCTCAGCCGGGGCCCTGCTCCCCCTTCAGGGCTTGGACGTGGAGGAGTAAAGTGTTTGGGTGGACAGGGCGGCGCCAGGGCCTCAGTGGTGGGCCCTCTACCACCATGGGGTTGACCGACGTCCTCCGCCAGATCTGCCCGTGGTGGTCACCGTGCTGGCTGTGGTGGGGAAGTTCGCCACAGCGTCTGGCTTCACCATCTCCTACGTGTACTCTGCCGAGCTCTTCCCCACCATCATCCGGTAAGGGCTGGCTCTCTGCTCCTGCGACCCTGAGCTGGGCCCTCCCTCGTCCACCCTCACCACCAATCTGGGGAAGCAGGGCTGGACAGGGCCTCGGGCAACAGAAATGCATGTCCAGGCTGGCGGGGGACAGACAGAGCTGTAGGCCATGCCCCTGGCCTGGTCAGGACAGGGAATATTTAGGGTGAGTCTAAGGTGAATGGCCCAAGAGATGGGACACCAGGTTGGGGTGGAGGTGGCCGGGAGGTTTTTTTTTTTTTTGGAGAGGTTTTTGCTATAGGGCACATGCGCTCGCCAGAAAGACAGAGAGAGACAGAGAGACAGAAAGGGAGAAATCACCCCCCCCAGGGAAGATGGCCACACCGCAATCCCTTCTCCTCCATTCTCCTCTTGGGATCTTGGGCATGCACACACATGTGCCTGGCATGAGTCTAAGCCACCGGGTTCGGGACTCGAACCGCAGTTGGCTACATGGGAGGCCAGTGACATAGCCATTATGCTAACTGCTGGTCCCAAGAGAGGTGCAGCCTTTGACCCGAGACTCGACAGGCAGAGTGGCTGGAGCCAGGAGGAGCAGGCTGAGCAGGGTGCAGGGTGGGTTGGGTGAGGTGGAGACCCTGCCGGCCTTTGGAGGCCACAGTTGGGGGTCCCAGAGTATGTGCTACGTGGAGCTGTGGCCTGGCGTGGAGGCCCGGTCTGCTCAGCTTGTCCTGCCTCCCCCAGGCAGACCGGCATGGGGCTGGTGGGCGTCTTCTCGAGGATCGGAGGCATCATCACCCCCCTGGTAATCCTGCTGGCCGAGTACCACGCGGCCCTGCCGATGCTCATCTACGGCAGCCTCCCCATTGTGGTGGGCCTCCTGTGTGCCCTGCTGCCAGAGACACGTGGGCAGGGCCTGAAGGACACCCTGGAGGACCTGGAGCAGGGGCCCCACCCACGGTGAGCCGCCTGCTGCCCTGAAGCCAGGACCTGGGCCTCGCATCAGCACCCCTCTCGGAGGCCAGGCCTCCACCTCCCCATGGGGACGTTGTTCCCTCAAGGCCCTCTGGAGCCCCAGGCAGCCGATTGGCTTTGGGATAGATTTTCCCTACTTTGGGGAGGAGGATGGTGAGGGGACCAATTCCTGGGCAGTTGGTGACAGCCTTCCTCCCCCTCCAGGTCCCCGAAGTCAGCACCTCCAGAAAAGGAATCTGAGGCCACAAGCAGAGCGCCCAGCCCCGGGCTGGCGTTTGTCAGCAGCACGCAGTTCTAACTGGTCTCGAAGAGCCAGACCAGCCGCAGCAGGGAGGGCTGCCCAAACCTCCCTCTGGATTTGGCTAGGGCCCACGAGGATGCAGGGGCGAGACCAGCCTCAACACGGAGGCAGCACGCCACGACTGGCCCCGGCCCTAGCCAGCCCTCAGAGCCTACCCCAGGAGCACCGAGAACAAGGACTCCTGCCCTCTTTCACCGTTCTCATCCCCAGAGCCCCCACCCCAGCCCCCTGTCTGTGTGAGAGTCTCGTGCTGGTTCTCTGGCAGTCTTGGGAGACATAGGTCTCCCCCTGCCCACAAAACACAGTCCAGCCCAGGACTCCTGCCCTCTTTCACCGTCCTCATCCCCAGAGCCCCCACCCCAGCCCCCTGTCTGTGTGAGAGTCTCGTGCTGGTTCTCTGGCAGTCTTGGGAGACATAGGTCTCCCCCTGCCCACAAAACACAGTCCAGCCCGGAACAGACACTCAGGGCTTCCCAAGTAGTGAGAGCAGGAGGGAGGGGAGGGACCAAGTCGTGCCTTGCTGGGCAGACAGAGGGAAGAGTTGTGGGTGAAGACAAAGCCCAGGCCCTCGGGCTAAGGCGTGTTCATGGAACACTCCATCCTCCGAGAGAAGACTGTTAGGCGAAGTCAAAGCTTCGCTCCACACACGCTCCTCAAGAGCCCTTTTAGCCACCTCCCTCAGCGCACGCCTGACATGCGTGTGGCAGCAGTGGGGGAGGGTGGGTTTGCTCTGTCCCCTCCTGCCCCAGCCCTTCACACTGCTATCTGTGGGCTCCTGGGGCCCAGCCGGGGCGAAGGAAAAGGGCCGCAGGCTGTATGCGTAGCTCCCAGTGACTGTAGTCTTCTCAGGTGCACCTAGGTTCACGCAGTCAGGACTTTTTTTGTTGTTGTTGTGAACTTGCCAGAGAGAGGGGGAGAGCGAGAAGGCACTCCCAGTGGGGCAAGCTGTTCGCCTTTTCCCCCTCCTTTCGAGATTTTGGGCAAGCACACGCACATACGCTTGTTTTATTCAAGTTGCGAAGGGAGGGGGATTCGAACCGCAAGGTCAGCCATGTGGGATCGGGCTCCCCTAACCACCAAGCCATGGGGCTGGCCCCAGGTGGTGCATTTTGACAGGCCTCTACAGGCTGGCTTTGCCACAGGGGCACACTCGTGTTGTCCAGAGGTCCTCCCGGGCCCGTGCTGTCCCTTACTGGGAGCAGGGAACTCCCAGCCACCTCCTGGGGCCTCAGCAGCTCCCGCCCCCTGTTCCCCATGGCCTCCCTCCCTGCTGGCATCCCACCTTAGAAGTCAGCCCTCTGGGGTGGCCTCCGCTCACTGCCTCCAGCCAGGCTACGCTTCCCAGCAGCTCTCGGCCACCAGGGCATGACATCTTGGTGCCACCGCACGGTGGGAGAGCCAGCCCGGCCATTGCCCTTCCTGCACTCCAGCCCACCTCCTGCCTCCTCACGGCACCCCGGTCCCTAAGAACAGTGCTTTGAACGATCCCTCCCTGGCGCCTGCTTGCTCTATGGAGCCTGGAGGGGCTGGAGGGCCCTGGACCAACTTTCCTGTAAAGCCAGGTCCTTCTCTAGAAAAGGTGGGTCTTTCTTCCTCATGGTCCTCCACCTCGAAGGGATGGCGGAAGTGCTAGCGAGCTCCCCACTGAGTACCGTTCACGGGGTCCTGAGCTGAGCTCCTCCAGGGGCACCCAACAGGCGTCACCAGGCTGACTCCGCCGAGATATGAGAGGTACCTGGACAGAGTGGGGAGACGGCCATCTCAACGCTGACGGCAAGACCTGGACGCTTGCTCCTTCCACGGCAGAACGATCGTCATTGCTGGGAAGGACTTAGACGGGCCCTGTACTGACACAAGCATAAACCCAGGGACGCGCGAGTGCCCTCGGGTGGGTCTTAGCAGACGTTCCCTTGTTTCCTTGTCTTTGTTGAGGGACCGTGGACAGCTGGAGAGAAGCATTTCTGTCTGGGTGGATTTCAGTGTCAGATGGCTCGTTCTGGTTAATGGGGAGATTTCTTTTAGTGGTTGCTGGTGGGAGGGCAGCGGCCGAGACCTCTGGGCCCCGAAGGGGAGGGTTTACGGGCCTGATCTTGGCTCTGCCTTGAGTCGCAGGACAGAAAGGAGGCCTTGCCCGTGCGCGGCCACGGCTGTCCTCCAAGGGGCGTTACTGAACACAGCCCGATTTGGGGGACACGGCAGTAGTGGGCCATGGCTCACTGGTTGACTCCATGGAGCTGGTGCAGGCCACAGACCTCCGGCCTCAGGGGCAGGGGTGCTCCTACTCTGGCCTCAGCCTTTCCGTTTTAGAGTGGGATTTCACAGGCCTCACTACACGAATCCTCTTGGGTGCCCCGGTTGGGCATGAAAGGTAAACAGGCCCAGCTCTGTGCCCCCAAAGTCCCAGAAAAGAGGGACGATAGCCCACCCCGACACCCCCAGTTCAGGGCCAGGCAGAACAGAGCTGAGACTCCAGGCGTGGCCCCACACACCGGGCGTGGCCTCACCCGCTTGTCTATTCACCCACCCACTGAGCAGCCACGGAAGGCCCACGTCACTTGCTCTCCCTGCTGGGCCAGAGACCCACAGTTCATCTGCTGCTGTCAAACCGCTCCCTTATGAGGAGTGCCATTAGTGAAGAGGTGAGGACACCGTGGTGGTGACACAGGTGGCAGGCCCAGCGTGTGAGCGTGCAGGGCCTCATGGCCCACAGGTGTCTAGTGTGTGCCAGAGGCCAGCTGAGAAGGCAGGTGGGGGGTGCAGGAGAGCGAGGACTATGATGGGGAGATACTGCCACTGGGACGAGAATGCCAGGGGGTGCTTGCAAACCCACGTCCTGAATCTTGGATTTTGTTCTGAAGGCAATAAAACCCACAAATTTTCTTTTTCTTCTTTTATTTATTTATTTATTTATTTATTTATTTTTTGAGAGGTTTTTGCTATAGGGCGTGTGCGCTCGCCAGACAGAGAGAGACAGAGAGACAAGAAGCGAGAAATCACTCCCCGGGGGAATGGCCACACCACAGTCCCTTCTCCTCCATTCTCCTCTCTAGATCTTGGGCACGCAGATGGGTCTGCCATTGGCCTCTAGGCCTGGAGGCTGCCTCCCACGAGGGACCCGTGAGATTAAGACCTTGTATCCTCTGGCCAGCAGGTAGAGGGCTAGTTAAGGTGCTGGATTCCACATAGACAGCTCTGGTTGGAGTCCCAGACCCAGAGACGAGAAACCCTGGGCTCACGGGCATACGTGTCCCAAACCCTGAGAGGAGAGTGCAGGAGAATGGATCACAGCGTAGCCCAGCCCCCCAGAGTGATGTCTCACTTTCTCTCTCTCTGTCTCTCTCTGGTGAGCGTACATGTTCTATGACAAAAGTGTTTTATAAAAAGACCCCATGTTCTCTACTTTGCTGTTCAAAGCCTTAGACATCCCACCTCTTCCATGTTTCCCAACTCCACTGACCCACAGGCACAACCTCGTGTTTCTGGAGCTGTGGCTCCAGACCCAGCAGAAAGGCCAATGGAAGGGCATTCCATCTCCCGCCTCTTCCTCGGATCATGCCTTTTCTCATAGCAAAGAAGCCCGGAGCAGGGCCACGTCTTGGCCATCATGGCCCCTCCCACTTGCCAAAGCCTCATTGGGTGGAGATCTGGCATTCTCTTCCTTTTTCCAACCTCTTTTTTAAATAATTATATATTTAATTTTATTTATTATTATTGGGGTGTTTTGTTTCATTTCCTATAGGCCACATGTGGGAGAGAGAGAGAGAAAAGGAGAAAGCAAGCAGCCAGGTCTGGGATTTGAACTACAGTTGGCCATGTGGGAATCCAGCACCTTACCCACCACCACCACTTGCTGACCCTTGCTCCCACCTCTTGACCTCCAGATCAGACAGCCTCATTCATGTAAAATTCTGCTGCCTGTTTCATGGTTTTTCCTTGCACCCTAGCTCCTGGCATCATCCATCTCAAGAAACCCCATCTCCACCTCCAAAATCCCAACAGTGGCATACATACGAGGAGATGAGTGGGTAACTGGACAGCTCGCTCTCTGACCACAGCGTCCATCCTTCTGGCGTGGTGGCTCCATTATTCCCATCTCTTTAGCTCAGACTATCACATCTAAATACCGTAGACTAGGAGGTTTAAAACTAGACTTTTATTTTCTTGGATTTCTGGCAGCCCTAAGAATGTAAGCGTGCCAGCATGACTGGGTTCTGGTGAGGGTTCTCTGGGTTCTTCTGGCTTACGGGTGGTGCCTTCTCTCTGCGCCCTCACGTGGTCTTTTCTCAGCGTGTGCATGTGGAGAGAGAAAGGAATTTCTCTTCCTCTTCTTCGAAGGCCACTAATTCCATTTTGAGGGCCCCACCCTCATAACCTAATCTACCCCTAGTTCATTTCCAACAGTCTCATCCCCAAGTACCATCCCAGTGGGGGTTAGGGCCACCATCTATGAATTTTCTGGAAACACAGTCAGTTCCTAATGCCATCCTTAGCTTCTTTAGACCCTCTGAGCCTTTAACTTTTTCCCTACTTCTCCCTGTTCTCTCAGATTAGAGGACAGAAGCCGCCATCTTAATTTATATTGAGAGAAAGATCGTTTGTCTCTGGTGCCAATACCCTACACGTCAATCCTTCTACCCTTCGGTTGTATCCAACTAACAGCACCTCAGCCGCTGAAGACCCTCCTTATCTGTCCTCTCTTGCCCTGCTCCCCAGACAGCGGTCATTGCTGGAGAGAGTCGCAGGCCAGGCCAGTCAGTTCCTTGGGAATTTGTGGTCACCACTGTCAACTGGGTCTTCCCAGAGCCCAGCATTCCCACCAGCTTTTCCTAGTCAGCTTGTTTCCTGACTCTTACTGGAGGCTGATGGTAGTCTCCTCCGCATGCTCCCACCCTCCTGCCCCCAGTAGATGGCGCTCCTTCCTCCCACACTTCCCACTGCAGGATCTTTTTTTTTTTTTTTAATAATTATTTATTTTATTTTATTTATTCATTCATTTATTTTTTTAGTTTGACAAGAGAGAGACAGAGGGTGAGAGTGAGAGAGAGAGGAAGTGAGAAAGCAAGCCACCAATTAACTAGGACTTCCAGCACTATATTGGAGGAAGTGGAAGCCTTGTCTTGTACCAATTTTTAGTGGAAAAGCTTTCAGCCTTTCCCCATTCATTATGATGTTAGTTATGGTTTGTTTGTTTGTTTGTTTGTTTGTTTGTTTTGCGCTCACCAGACAGAGAGAGACATAGAGACAAAAAGTGAGAAATCACCCCCCAGGGGGGATGACCACGCTGCAATCCCTTCTCTTCCATTCTCCTCTTGGGATCTTGGGCACGCACGCACACACGCCCGGTGTGGGTTTTAAGCCACCGGGTCCGGGACTCGAACTGCGGTCGACTACGTGGGAGTCCAGTGACATAGCCATTATGCTAACTGCTGGTTCCCAGTTATAGGTTTTTCATAGATGGCTTTTATGGTGTTGAGAAATGTCCCTTGTATGCCAATTTTTCTGAGAGTATTAATCATGAAGTGGTGTTGTATTTTATCAAATGCTTTTTCTTCATTGACTGATATCATCATATTTTTTTTTAGGTATTTATTTATTTATTGGAGAGGTTTTTGCTATAGGGCATGTGCACTCGCCAGAAAGACAGAAACAGACAGGAAGCTAGAAGTCACCCCACAGGGGGATGACCATGCCTCAATCCCTTCTCCTCCATTCTCCTCTTGGGATCTTGGGCACACACACGTGCCCGGCATGAGCTTAAGCCACCGGGTCCGAGACTCAAACTGCGGTTGACTACATGGAAGTTCAGCGACATAGCCATTACGCCAACTGCTGGTCCCATGATCATATGGTTTTTATCTTTCTGTCTGTTAATATGGTGTATCACGTTTATGGTTTTGCATTATTATTATTTTTTTTTAGAGGTTTTTGGTGTAGGGTGTACGTGCTTGCCAGAAAAATGGAGACAGAGAGACAGAAAGCAAGAAATCACCCCCCAGGGCAGATGGTCACGCTGCAATCCCTTCTCCTCCATTCTCCTCTTGATCTTGGGCATGCACGCACATGCCCCCGGTGTGAGTTTAAGCCACTGGGTCTAGGGCTCGAACTGCAGTCGACTACATGGGAGTCCAGTGACATAGCCATTATGCCAACTGCTGGTTCCAGGTTTATTGTTTTTTTTTTTTTTTTTTTTTTTTTTTTTTTTTTCAGGTGAGCCACTTGAGTTCCCTGTGTATTCTGGTTATTAGTCTCTTATCTGAAGAACAGTTGACAAAAATATTGTCCCATTTGGAGGGTTCTTGATTCACATTGATTACTGTGTCCTTGGCAGTGCAGAAACTTAATTTGATATGATCCCACTTGTCTATTTTGGGAATTATTGCCTGTGCTTTTGGGGGTTTATTTAAGAAGTCTTTGCCTACCCCAGTGTTTCCCAGTGTTTCACCAGTGTTTTCCAGCAGTAGTTTTATAGTTTAGAGTGTTAGGTTTAGATCTTTGATCCATTTTTTAAAAAATAATTATTTTATTTTTTCATTCTTTTTTTTTTTTTTAGTTTGACAAGAGAGAGACAGAGGGTGAGAGTGAGAGAGAGAGGAAGTGAGAAAGCAAGCCACCAGATTCAGGACTTGAACCCTGGTCGGCCCACTGCAGGATCTTTAATCCCCACCTCCACTTTCCCTTCTGCGGCAGTGCTAGAACTGCCCCATGCAAAGATGGTAGAGAGAGTCTGGTGTGAGGCCCTTCCCTCTGCTCCCACCTCTGTCCCAGGGGGCAGCTGAAGGTAGAGCCTTCTTCCTCCTCTGCTCCAAAGGACAAAGCCTTCTCTTCCCCAGCAAGGGACCATCAGTTTCCCTCCAGTCTCTGCCTCTTCCTGGGCCGTGTGCTGGGCCGTGTGCTGATCCCCTCCTACCTGCTCCCGGAACATGATGACTGGCACTCTGTCCCTATCAGTGGGTAGAAGAAGCCTCTGGCTTTTGGGGATGATGGACCCCAAAGTCACAGAGAAAGCGGGACAAGCCATTTCCAGCCATGGGATCGGGGAGGCTTGCAGGGCAGCTGACAACTGAGTGGTGTCTGGAGGGGTGGGAGGGTGTTCTTCAGCGGAGTGCAGCCCTCCTGGGGAGGGTGGGAGTTCTGGTTGTTGAAAACAGCCTGCCCCAAGGCGCAGGGCTGGCTCTGGTGGGAGTTGCTCAGTCTCCTCACGCCATTCCCTCCAAGGGTCTGTGACCCATCGGGCCTCTGGAATAGAATGTTGCCCTCAGCACTCCCAGCCTGCCCCAGGACCTCCTCACCCCATTGTGACACCACTCTCCAGACACCAGTGGAACCCGAGGCTTCTGCTTCCAAGGTTTTGGCTGGGCCTGGATTGTGGTCAGGTGGGCCCTGGCTTTGGCTTGAGGTCCTGTCTCCAGGGAGGAGGTACCGGAAGGCTGTGGAGGGTGGCAATTACGATGACACTCGGCGATTGCGGGGCCGCGTTCTCAGCACAGATGTGGCCGGGAGCCTGCCTGGGCCTGTTCAGCTGTGGGGGAGTCTCTGGAAGGAGCAGGCTGTCCCCATGGAGAGCGTGAGTTCTCGAGGGTGGCCCCCGGCCATGTCCTGCCCCCAGGTGGTGTGTGCTCCTGCCAGGCCTCTTCCAGGTTTCGGTGTCCTCCTTGTGCATTGAGAACCCATCTCCTGGGCCTATCTGCCTGGCCTGGGACCTTGGGGATCAGAAGAGGGAGTGAGTGCACTGGGGCCTTGCAGACTGTCAGTGGTACTGGGCACCCTGAAGGAGACCCTGCAGGGGGAGGTGAGTCTGGCACCTCTGACCGGGAAGCCGATCTCCAAGGAGAGCAAAGCTCCCCTCCCTCTCAGGAGTCTCCTCTACCTGCTCCACCCCTCCACGGTCCTCACCTCATACACAAGACTAAATTCCATTCCCATTGCTGCTGTAACCAGTTGCCACCTTCAGTGGCTTAAACCAACACCAAGTTGTGGCCTATGCCTCTGGCAGTGAGAAATGCGTGTCACGAAGCTATCAGCAGGGCTGCGCTCCTTCCTGGAAGCTTTAGGGAGGACCCGTGTCCTTGCCTTTCCTGGCTTCTAGAGGCTGCAGCTCTTCTTGGCTCATGGTCCCACCCATCTCCAAAGCCAGCACTCACTCACCGGCCTAGTGAGTCTTTCTTGCCCTGTATTTCTCTGGTTGAGACTGTCCTGCCCACCCAGATAACTCAGGATAATCATTCTTTTTAAAGGTCAACTGATTACTAACCTTTATTTTACCTGGAACTTTAATGCCCACCTTGCCATGTAAGGTCACATGCTTTTGTTGTTTTTTGTTTGTTTGTTTATTTGTTTTTTTCCCAATTTATTTATTAATTTATTTACAGTCATTTGTTGTACATCCATACAGTCTACAAAATGAGATTTTCCATCCAGTATACATTGTACGTTGGCTCAATCACGGATATTGCCATACATGTTATTATCAACAAATAATTTTCGATTTCTTGCTTCTTATATATTTTGCTCCCGCCCCCCCCCTTGATTCCCTGCCTCTCACCCTCTGCCAACTCCCACTCTTCTCCCACACTGTCTCTGGTACATATAGTTGTTTTCCATGCCTTCCCCTTCCCATTTTATTAATTCACTAAAGATCTCAGTTAATTTAAAGACTTTGAATAGCAAGCACAGCTGATATATACATATTTATGAATGCATGTCAGACTTTAGGTGTAACCCCCAGTGAGTAAAGTCAACACACTATGAAGTAGCACCTCACAAGCACAACATAGCTTACTGCAGTCACTAAATAGATATGAATAGATATGAATAGATATTTTCATGCATTTTTTTAATTTCAAAAGTAGTTTTAGTTTTAATAGATTAAAATAAAAAAAACACTAAGAGAAATTTGCTTAAAACTTAAAGCCAGAAACAAGGTTAGGATTCAGTTCAAATAGTAGGTAGATGAACCTATCAACAATTCAAGAGGAGACAAAAATCCTTAAATATGGAAAGTAAAGCTTCAAAGAAAATCAGTAATATTTTAGTCTAAAGTCAAAAAATTCTATTTCCTAGTTCGGACGCACGTAACTAATCTCTCTTCTATTGAATTTGCAGTGTTTCTGTGGTCTGATCTTTCCATTTCAACTTGGAAGTTAACATTCAACTCTGGACTTGTCCCTACCATTGGGCTGGCCATTCTCTTGGTTGTTTCTTGTACTCTTATTTTTGTGTGTTTGACTTTAGTTTTCCTGGCATAGCGCTCCCTTCAGTACTTCTTGAGATCTGGTCTGGTGTTGGTAAATTCTTTCAGGTTTCGTTTATCTGAGAATGCTTTTGTCTTTCTTTTCCCATACGAAAGATAATCTTGCTGGATATAATATTCTCGGTTGAATTGTTTTTCACTCAACACTTTTAATATATTTTCTCATTCTTTCCTTGCTTGCATTGTTTCCTATGAGGGGACGTTAGCTTGATGTTTCTCTCTTGCTGATTTTAGTATCTTGTCTCTGTGGTTTTGGTCAGTCTGGCTATGATGTGCCTCAGGGAAGATCTTCTTGGATCGATTCTATGTGGGGTGCTTTCTATTTCTTGTGTCTGGATATTTGAGTGCCTCTCTAGGTTTGGAAAGTTTTTTTCCAGGATTTCATGGAATAGATTATCAATGCCCTTATTAGTTTCTTCACCTTCTGGGATACTGATGATCCAGATGTTTGGGTGTTTAATAGTATCTACTATTACTCGTATGTTATTCTCATTTTTGGGGGGTTATTTTGTCAGTCTTTTTGGTGACTCTTTCTAGGTCAGAGGTTCTATCTTCTACATCTGAGATTCAATCTTCTGCATGATCTAATCTGCTTTTGATACTTTCAACGGAAGTTATGATTTCCTGTATTACAGCCTTCATCTCTAACAGTTCCGTTTGATTTTTTTTATGATGTGTATCTCCTCTTTCAGATCGTGCAAGAATTCTCTCACCTCCTGGAACCTGGCGTCTCTTTTCTCCTGCATCTTCTGGAGTTCGTTGTCTCTATCCTCTTGCATTTCTGTTAGCTCTGTACTATGAATATTTTAAATTCTTTTTTTCTGATGTTTCCATGAGTTCCCTTGTATTGTCTTTGGAGGAAGAGGAGTTCTTTTTTTCCATCAGAGGAGAGATATTTTCTTGGTTTCTCATATTTCTTGTGCCTCTGCGGTGGTTTCTGGCCATCTGATGGATTATACATTTTTTCCTACTTTTTGGTGTTAAATCTGGGCAATCAGAGGAATGCAGAAGGAGGTGACCTGTGGTCTGTACACAGTACCATTTTCTTCCTTTTTTTGGAGAGGTTTATGCTATAGGGCGCGTGCGCTCGCCAGAAAGAGAGAGACAGAGAGACAAAGAAACCGAGAAACCCCCCCCCCCCCCAGGGGATATGGCCACAATGCAATCCCTTCTCCTCCATCTCTTCTCAGGATCTCGGGCACGCACACACACGCGCCCAGCATGTGTTTAAGCCACCGGGTCCGGGACTTGAACCACAGTCGACTACAAGGGAGTCCAGCGACATAGCCATTACGCCAACTGCTGGTCCCACCATTTTCTTTACACAGCTAATTCAATGAAAACTGAGGATTGATCTGACCCTAAAAATGCTCAGATATTTGGCTACTGAGCCCCTAGACCTATCTAGAAAATCAGTGTATGGAGGATGAGCAGAAAAGTGAGAAAGGTAAAAAAAGGAAAAGAAAATGAATAGATAAAACCAAAGAAGATGGGGAAAAAACAAAACAAAACAAAAAACAAACAAACAAAAAAGACAAAAAAAAAAGAAAAAGAAAAGAAAAAAATTGTCAAAAAATGAAAATGAATCGGGCCACTCAGAACTCAAATATAGATGGCTGCTGATCGGCTTACCCTACGTGGGCAGCAGGAAAGGTAAGAATCAGAAAGACAGAAGACTTTAGAAGAGAGCGGACTCCTCTCGGGATCTTGGGCACGCACGCACACGCGCCCGGCGTGAGTTTTAAGCCACCAGGTCCGGGACGCGAACCGCGGTCGACTACGTGGGAGTCCAGCGACATAGCCATTACGCTAACTGCTGGTTAGCGTAAACATTTTTTTTAAATGAGAGAGAGAGGTGGAAAGAGAGAGAATAAGTGGGGTGCTCTAACCTGGCTCCTGGCTAGACTGGGCAGCAGGAGGGTGAAGTCTGGGCACAGGGTCCTCAGTGGCCGAAACCCTAAGGTGACACGTTCACAGGCTGTAAGGATCGGCCATAGACGTCTCTGGGGGCTGTCACTTGGCCTGCCTCTCCCCTTCCACCCAGCACCCAGCACAGGCGTATCCTGTGCCTTCCCTTCGTGCTGCCTCGTCTGCACCTGCTACTCCTGCTGAGATCCGGGATCCCAGACTCCGGGGCCAGGCAGGAGGCCCAGACAAGTGAAAAAGGCAAATGATGACAGACCCAATTGGACCTCCGGCTGGAACGACTCAGACGTGGTGGGCTTGGGGCTGAGCAGAGCAGATCCTCACTCTGAAGAAGTGACCCTCACTCAGCTTTGCCAGTGGTCGCCAGATGGGAACGCGTCCCACTGGCCAAACTTCAATACAAAATTTATTTATTTATTTTAATTTAAAAAAAAATTTTTTTTTGAGAGGTTTTGGCTATAGGGCGTGTGTGCTCGCCAGACAGACAGAGAGAGACAGAGAGACAGAAAGCGAGAAATCACCCCCCAGGGGGGATGGCTGCGCCACAATCCCTTCTCCTCCATTCTCCTCTCGGGATCTTGGGCACGCACGCACACGCACCCGACGTGAGTTTTAAGCCACCGGGTCTGGGACACGAACCACAGTCGACTACGTGGGAGTCCAGTGACATAGCCATTATGCTAACTGCTGGTGCCCCTGTTTTCAAACTTTGTGAGAAGACAGTATCCGTGCTCCGAGGCTTGCTTTGTTTTCACTCAGCATTATGGTTTCCGAATGATGGATGGAGCCGCAGTTTGTTCTTTTCATGGCTGGCTTGTGTTCCACTCCACACAAACACCACACAGTGTAGCCATTCTTCTGTTCATGAGAATTTGCACTCTTTTTTCCTCCCTGTTCAAAGCGTGTTGCCGTGGACATGTTGGTACTTACTTCCTGGATCAAATGTACAAATATTTCCCTTTACTATATATCTGGGAGTAGCATTGCTGGGGTCTAAAGGTATAGGGATATTCAAGTTTATAAGACAATGGCAAATTATTTTCCAAGGTGGGCCTATGAATAATCATGCCAGAAACGGATGAAAGATGGCGTCTCTTCATCATGTGATATTGTCAGATCTCTCAAGTTTTGTCAATGAAATGAGTGCCATGATCTCATTGTAATTTCACTTTGCATTTCTCTTATTTTTTTATTTTTTTATTTTTTGCGAGTTTTTTGCTATAGGGCATGTGCGCTCGCC